CTATCTATCTATCTATCTATCTATCTATCTATCTATCTATCTATCTAACTACATATCTATCTATCCATACACACACACACACACACACTCTCACTCTCTCTCTCTCATTCTACATCCATCACTTGTTCGTGAAAGCAAATCATCAAAAGCCCCCTAACTATCAACACTGAGTAGGGAGGAATACTAGTTCAGAGCTATGATTCTATTAGTGCAAGGAACTACTTCCCCCAAGCGCAATTAGATGTAGATCAGCATCTCCCCTATCTCCTAGGGTTGCAGAGAACTTTCTGGAGCCCTGATAGGTTAGAGACTTGCCCCTGGTCACATGGCTAAGAGGGAGGGCTGGAACTGAAGTTCTACAATTCAGGATTTTAAAAGCACAATTTTCCTTAATTAGTGAGCTTTTACCATGTTGTATTTATAGCTGCTAAGGAATACAGAAGAAAGGGCTTTACCTTTCAAGTTACACCTGTAACAGTTAATAAAACTTGTATTTCAACACTATCAAATATCAAATGGTCACTCATAAACTTCATAACCTTTTTAATCTGACATTTCATAGTCCTTATCATTCCTCTTAAATTAAGGCCAACCAAGTGACCTTAATAAATCATATTCAACAACAACAACAAAAAAAATATCAAAATCTTTCTTTCAATCTAGAAATCCTGCTGGGGTAGTCAAACTGCAAATACAGGTAGGAACTCTAATTTTTCTGCCTAGGGCTTTTTTTTTTCTGGTGATGGTGCTGGGGATGGTGGGTTGGTGGTATGTATTGTTTCCTAATGAAAGTTTAAGGAATAAATCATTTGGATTATTAATCTTCCACATTTATATGAACATGAACTTTGGTTATGATACTCTGCCATAAATGTGGATTCTGGTATACAAATTCTGATAAAAACCTGATGCCCAGAATTTGGTAAAAATTAACCACAAGGCCAAGTTCATGTTCTACAAAATAAGAACCGTCTCAAACACTTGTTCAGCACAGATGATACGAAGCCATGCGCCAATTCTAAAAGACAGCTTCCAAATAGAATTTGGTATAGATATTGGAAGAGAATATAAATGTTGAAAAAGCTACTTGCCACAACAAATAGGTTTAATAAAGATCAAACTACAGACCTATAGCAAATAACAAGGGTACATGCACATCTTTCAACTGAGACAGATTAACAATATAGCAATTAAGGAAAAAACTACAAAAAGCAACTATTTTGTATGTGAAGGGTAGAGAGAAATAGGAGAAAGAGAAAGAGAAGAGAGGAGAGAAGAAAAAAAGAAAGTAGAATAAGGGAGAGACAAGAGAAAGGAGAGAGAGAAAGACTGAGGGAAGGAGGGAGTGGATTTAGTATTTCATTGGTTTTGGAAATTCCCAATGATGAAATCCCTCTAACAATGCAGAGCACCTGTTCTGCAACTTAAAGTCCTAGAGAGTTGTCTGATGAACTAAGAGGTTAAATTAATTTCCCAGGGTCACAGAAATAGGACTTGAATCTGGGTCTTTCTGATTCTGAAGCCAGCTCTCTATCCAATACACCACATTGCTTCTCAGGGAAAGAAAATTCTTAGAAATATATTTTACAAGCAACAATACTGAGCAAAATGTGTTGGCAAACCAATTTTAATATATTCACCTGCTATTTTAAAATAATATTTCAACACAGACCTGCAGTTATCAAGTATAATGGAACACAAATCATAAAACCCATACTATGTCAAAGCTCTGAATGAAAGGTTCCCTGAACCACATGAAAAAGAAATTTTCACTACTATCTACTTATACTGCTCCCACATGGAAAAACTGAAAAATAACTTCTATAATGATCATGAAAATTATAGTTCCTCACTAATAAAATTTGGGAACAAAGTATAACTCAGTAGAAAAATCAACACTACAACAGCAAGTTCGGATGCCAAGAGATAATTGCATAGCTGCTACTGTTATCAGCTCAAAAAAGGTAATGTTAATAAAACCACATCCAATTTGTGTCTATAAAAGGCATGTTCTTTGATGACAACAAATAATTCCCTTAGATTTTTTTTTTAGGACAGGATTATGAGCACTACAAATTTCAGGATATACAAATGAAAAACCGAAACTGTGTGACAAAAAACAATTGACTGTGTAAATGGACGTGCGACATATATCTTAGTGAATGTGAATGAAACCACCAGTCACCACACGAAAATGGAGGCCCAGAAAGGTAAAAGCAACTTGCCCAATGTCATATTTAAATGTCAGAATTGGGATTTAAAACCAAGTGCTCTGACTCAAAATCCCGTCCTCTTTCCAGTCCAGCACAAAAGTATGCTTTTCTCTCCCATTGTGGATAAAAATAAATATATGCGGCATAAAAACTTACTAATCTTTCTAGGTTTAAATGTTGTCAATTTACCATTATATCTTTTACTTACCCTTCACTGTTAATTTTTAGCATAGGAATTAACTTAGACAATGTCCAGGAAAAGAGATCCATTTTTAATGCTCATATAATTTGTAATTCTATGTAAACAGAAGGAAATCTCCTATGCCATGTCACTCTTCTTCCTAGTTTTTTAACTATCAGTATCCTATATAATTAAGTCCTCAGCATGTCTACGCTTCTTTCCATTCAAATTCTCATGAAGAATTCATCAGTTCTGTTTCATCTATCACCTACTAGCAGATGACAACAAAACTTACATCTTCATTCATGATGTTCTAATATTATATTATATTTTAATTTCTTTATATTCTATCTCCTCTTATATGGGTCCTACAAATACCTGAACCCTAACATGATAAATACTGAATACAATCAATACTGAACTCTCAAAATGTTAAGGGGTTAATAAAAGCTGAGGAATATTCCAAGGTCTAGAACACTTAAAACAATTTAAAGAAGTAACCTGAACAAGTTAAGCAAAGGGAAAAACAGGATGCAGGATCAGGTTCCTGGACTAATGTCTCAAATCTAGAGATCATAAATCATATAATCTCAGAGTTGAAAGTGACCACAGAGGTCTTTAGTCTAAACTACACCTAAAGGAGATGTCCCTCTACAAGATCTCTAACAAGTGGTCATGCAGCCTCTTCTTAAATACTGCTAGTGATAGCAATCACACTATCCGATGAGGTAGCCCATTTCACTTTTATACTGTACTAATTATTAAGTGGGAATTCCTTGCATTGAGTGAAATTTGCCTCTGAAACTTCCAGCCATTTCTCCTAGTTCTTCCTCTTGGGGCTGAGCAGAACAAATCTAAGCTATCTTCCACATAACAGCCCTTCAAACACTTGAAGGCAGCTATCATACTCCCACTGTATCTTCTCTTACTGAAGCTAAACAATCCCAGTTTCTTCCCCAAACCACTGCACGTCCTCTCACCACCCTGGCTGCACTCCAGTTTATCAATGTCCTTTCAAAAATGTGACACCCAGATGTAATCTGACCAGGATAAAATAGAGTAAGACACTTCCTCTGTCCTACAAAATATGCTCCTATTAATAAAAACCTAAACTCACTCCATATCCACTAATTTCCACCTCAAACAGGGGTCAAAATGCAACCAGTACCATTCGACTCCCTGGCATTCCCAAAAAGACATACCATTTTTGTAAGGCCACTGACCCCTACTGTATGCAGTTGGAGTTACTAACCTTAATATGTCTATTCATTGCAGTGGATTGTGCAGCTCGAACTAGACCCTCTAATTCAGCACCACTGAAGTTCTTGGTCTCCACAGCAAGTTCCTTAATATCCACATCCGCAGCTAATAGCTGATGCCCTCTCATCCTTGCTGTATGAATGTGAAGGATCTGCAGCCGACCTTTTTCATCTGGCAAGCCTGAAAATTTAAAATGACCAAGTGAGAGGGACAGTGGATGAGAAACCAGCCACAGAGCTAGAAAGGCCTGGTTTAAGCCCTAGATCTGACCCATATGAGTTTAATTTCTAAATGCTTCAGGCAACTGAGATGATCTGCATTGGCAGAGGTAATTTCCTCATCAGGAATTCACGAGAGCAACTAAATCACAAATCCAAACACACACACACACACACACACACACACACACACACACAGGGAAGGGGGTCACTATCTAGTCTCTAGATCACCATCAACGAAGTGATACTAATATCCATCTTTTCTTTTGAGTATTAGAAGCATATAAACGCACATGCTTCTCATAAGATACAGCTCCTACTAATATATTAAGCAATAAAGAATCCTACAATGCTATTACTAATGATCTAGACACAAATGATCAGCGATGGGTCTACTTACCTATTTCCATTTTAACCTCCAGTCTACCAGGTCGCAGAAGAGCCTCATCTATCAGATCAGGTCTGTTGGTCATTCCTGGGCACATAAGTTAAAATAAATGCACAGACAAGTTATCAGAGATGTGGAGTTAACATACAAATTCTTTTCTGAATGCCTTAAGAACTATATTCTTCTGAAAAATGAAAGGTACATTTTACAAATGTCAACTAAAAAGCAAAAATTTTAAAAGTCTTGAGCACTTTGTCAAGTGACTACAGCTTAAAATAGTGATTGCTGCTCCCCTCCCCTCCAAGACCAACAGCAGGAACCTGGAGATGTTTGTAACCAATTCCACACCCCGTAAATAATTCCAAATAACTCCACATAACGATTCCCAAACTGACAGTGCTAGAATTCTAGGGTCTTTCCTCAATTTCAGAGCAGGTGCCTGGACATCTTGCTTTTCCCTTTACTATATATTGTAGAAGCCAATGCATCATCATAATTATTATTTTTGAAATTTTCTGTTTTTCACCTAAAACTTTTTAAATGTTTCAAGTCTTCCCACAGTAGGTTTTTTCTATCACTTTTCCTAAAATTATTTAAACCACTCCAATGGGGTGGCCACTTGTTTAAACACACAATTCTATCCCAAAACTAAATTTCCATTCCTTATATTCCCATTGAGACTAGACATGAACACAATCGCCAGATTTTTTTAAGGATGTTTAGCACTTTTAAACAAATGAAGATTTTCTATTAACACACACACACACACACACACAACCCTATCTCAATTTATATCCTACATAATGCATGTTCTTTAAAAGATTTATTTGAACATACCAATGACTAAGATGTTGTTTAGTTGCTCCACACCATCGATTTTAGACAACAATTGGTTGACAACAGTGTCATGAACTCCTGTGCTTCCAGCCATGCTCCCTCTCTGCTTGCAGATGGCATCAATTTCATCAAAGATGATGATGTGTAAACCACTGTTAGCTCCAAGCTATTGGGGTGGGAAAAGAACCAAGTTGCATGTTATCACTAAATATTACAAGATAACCAGTCTAACTGTACTCTCTTGAATGCCTACAGACATGCAGTAAGCAATTTTAGTGTACACATGGTCCCTGCCCTTAGGGAGCTAACAATATAAAGGAGAAGAAAGGAAACATGAGTATTTTAATCAATATAAATATTTTTTTAAAGTAGAAAAAAAAACTAAATGAGGATACTAACAGGACTGGGTAGTGTGATGGGATTTAGGGTTGTGTCAGGTTATTATGAATAAATTACGTGGAACATAAACTGAAACTAAATGGATGGAAGAGACTTAATTTAATGGAAAAAGATATGTGAAACCACTTGAGTGAAGGTTCAGAGACAACTGGGATCCATAAATGACTAATAGATTTTACTAACTAATTTGGGGTATAAATTAGAATAATGCCAAGGTAGATCTAGCTGGTAGGGACCTTTGAAATGCTCAGTGAGGATTTTGTATTTGTTACAGAGGAAAGTGATGAAAGATTTGGAATAGAGGGATGATAGGACTTTTAATGCATATACAGAAAATGATTTTAGTAACACATGAATGAGATCATCAGGGAGACAGGTTTGAGTCAGTGAGACAAAGGTGACTTATTAAATGTGATACTAAATTACACTGAATAACATTTCTGGAAGTGGTGATGATTGAAGAGGAGTAGCGCTGTGTCTCCATAGATTAGAGAGCATTTATTAAGTGCTTACTATGAGCTAGGCAATGTGCTAAACGCTGGGGATACAAAAAGGAGAAAAATAAGATGGCTCCTACTTGCTGGGAGTTTCTAATGGGGAAGACAAAATATCAAAGGGATCTGAAAAGTATCAGAGTGGGGCAAGGGAGGGTACCCAAACTAGGCTGCTGAGAAGATAGAACAGTCTGGTTAGAGAGTCAGACAGCTGGCTGCTTCCAGAGCAGGTTTGACTTTATTACGGCCTATATAAAGGGAAAGAAAAGATAGAGGGACATCAAATATCAACCTTAGATTTCTGACTCAGGTAACAAATTGATTATTCGTGTCCAGGATGATGGGGAAGTTAAAGGTAAAAGGCTTAAGAGAAATGATGAAATTTGGTCTTGCCACGTTGAATCTGAAGTGTCAGCAGAACACCCAACTGGAAAAGTCCTCTAGAGATCAAGAAATAAAAGACTGGACAAAAAGGAAGGGATAATTCTCAAGGTAATCTATGCACACTGTATAAAAGAGATTACAACAATGTATGATCTGACCAGTAGAGCCAGAGGAATAAAACTAGGATGGACTCTGGGTCAGAACTTGTAGGGTGTCTAGTGAGCAAGCACAGGGAAGAAGATCAAAAAAAAGATGATACTAATGAAGCTAACAAGTAGGTAGGAGGAGTTTCAGTCCAAAAGTTTATGACTTGAAAGACATTAATGTGAGCTCTAAAAGGAACCAGACTCTAGGCAATTAATTACATACTATGATGGATCATACGATCCACAAGAGTTGTACTATTCTTCTTCTTCAGGTTAGCAGTCCTCAGTGATATTATATGTAAGGTCTCCTTGGTATTCACAGAATTTAGAGCTGGAAAGGGCAGCAGAGATAATTAGGCCAACCTTCTGCTTTTACAGATGAAGAAACAAGGCCTGGGGAGATTAAATGACTTGCCCAAAGTCACACAAACAGTAAGTAGAAGCGCTAAGGTTTGAATCCAGAGTTTTCAACTCTGACTTCAGTACTCTTTTTATTATGATGCACTACACACAATGCTAACTCTATATATGTAGCAAAGGTTTTGGAAAGTTTTACTGCTGATGGATTTTTCCTAAATTTTATAAACAAAACTATTTTCTCCCAAACTGTTCTCATCACAATTATATTTGTAAATGGTATGCAAAAACCTATTTACACTTGGAAAAAATTATACTCATTTCCCAACTTCAAAGACCAAATTGGAAGGTTCTGTCATCCCACCTATGCAAAAAGACTGGAAAGAAGAACTTGAAGCTTTAATCTCAGTTCTGCCAAGGCATTTCTGTATAGTACGGTTTATTTTAACTTTCTTGTAATCTTTAAATTTTCCATAAATTAAAAACTTTCACAAGTTAACACTAAAATCTACACATATAAACACAGTGAAAAATATCATCAAACGTCTTTCAACGATACTGTATATTTTGCACAGCACAAAAAAAGGAGCTATGTCTAATTTTTTTCTTTCAATGTGCCTTATGTTACCAGTAGAATCATGGCTTCCCTCTCAATCCAACCTCCAAATTTATCTGGGTATTCTGTAAAGCCAAAGACAATGAGAACACTATGTTCAAATAAACTATCACCCTGGCCATCTGCTATGAATATAATTCATTACAATTCTGACCTTTTCAGTACACTGCTAATCTCATGACTTGTCATCAGAATGGTTCTTCCAAGGAGTCAGTGTAACTTCTATTTTTACAGGTGTGTTACTCCAAAGGAAGGCAAGTTCACAAATATAGTACTTATTGCAACACATTAGGAATTAGGTTAGGAAGATGTCAAAATTAATGTTCACAGATTAATATAGTTAAATCCTTATAAGACTATCCTGTTCAATCCATTGGATTCTAGCTCTCTTCTTGCCATCTGAAAAATCTTTTCCCATAGAAACAAATCTGATGCTACTGAGCCCCTGGCAACAGCCTTCTGAAGAGACTGTTCTATATTTAGCCAGTATGACCTATTTGCGATTCTTCATCTCCTTCAGCCTAGACTGTCAAGAATCACAGAGGGGATGCTTTTCTTTATTCTGTTAACACTGCCCTGCCCCCAACCTACGGCATGGAGTCATTAGCTGGGTATGTTAAACCATTTCTGAATGTACAGGATGAGAGAAGTTAGATCTGAAAAGAATGGTTATGATTAATTTTTATCTAAAAATCCTTTACCAGGACTCATATGTATAAAAATATGTATACCAGCACTTTTTTGTTGTAACAAAGAACTGGAAAGAAAGTGGGCACCCATCAGTTGTGGAAAAGATTTACAAATAATGATATATGGATATAATGGAATATTACTACATTATAAGGAATGATGAAAGAGACAGAAAAACGTGGTCAGGTTCCCATTAATTGACATGGAGTAAAGTGTGCTGAACCAAGAGGACAATTTATATAAATTGACTACAACACAGTAAAGGGAAACAACTATAGAAAAAATTTTAAGAATTCTGATCAATGTAATGATCAGTTATGACTTCAGAAGACCCCCAGGACAGAAGTAAAAGACTAGAATTGCAAAATGAAACTGTATTTTGAGACATGGCCAATGTGTGCTTGTTTTGTATGACCATGCTTATTTGTTATAAGGGAGAATTTTTGGGGGGGGGGATATCAAAGAGGAACAGTAGGGAGTGATAGTGGTATAAAAAAAAGGAAGAAAAAGTATATCAATGAATTATTTAAAAATACAAAGTAGACAGCAGGAAGCTCAGAAGGGGACGACAAAGACAAACAGGGCAGTGCTGGAACTTCCGTGTTCAATATGAAATATACTTTTAAAAAACAAGCTATAAGTAGTAGAGTCAGTATGAACTGTTCTTTATCTTCTTTGTAAAGTTTATGAAAATTTTAAAAATAAAATAATGGACCAACTCAGTTTTAACATTAGTACTCTCATGTTTAACTGCATGTGAATTTAGACACAGCACAAGAAAGTGATCTATGCAACCAAATGGAAATATTCACAATTTAGATTTTATAAAATGCTTCTTTACTGTTCTTTTCCCACTCCTTAAAAAAACAAAAAACAAAAAACAAACTAAAACTTATGGTCATGAATTAGGTTCTAAAATAAAATAGCACTTGCGATGGTTAAAAAAAATTTAAATAATAAAAATCTATTGGTTCTGGCATTTCCTGGAATTTAAGTTAATAAGCCCTAGAACTAAGGATTTAACCTTCCTTGGTCAGGACCTGTACCACAGCCCACCAAAGCTGATGCCTGTTTGGACTCATATCCCTAGAAGTAGCCTCACCTTGAGGCCTGGAAGTGACATAGGCCCTGAGAAAGAGAGAACAGACTCTAATTGTCATCATGTATAAACTAGAATGTCTAGAAACTTCTAATGATTGTCTTCAAATATTATGAGAAGAATAGTGAGAAGCTATTTTATTCTTAGTTATCTTAACCTTATTGAAGTTATCTAATTCTTATTGAAATGAGGAACAAGAAAAATAAATGAAATTAATAAAAGTCAGTGGATGAAGTATTGTTTGTTTTAAATAAACTTCATTTTTAAGCTCTAAATCGTTTTTCTTTGAACTTCATCCAAGTACTTGGCAATATATTCATGACCAGGTTCACTTTCATGTTATCAAATTTCTACATATGATCCTTAATGTATACATGTATAAATGTGTGTGTGTGTGTGTGTGTGTGTGTGTGTGTGTGTGTGTACACATCCTCACAAGCTAGATTTTTCTATACTTTAAAGGGTATATACAGTCAGGCCTTTGGGGATAAGGTGTCAAACTACAATGCAGAAACCTAAAGGTCACTGCGACACATTTACTCATATGCAATCAACCTTCTTTGAATTCTGATTGTTTAGTGGCCAAGAACATGGACCTCTATCTGTTCATATAATGTAAATACCCTTAATGTCTAATAGATAAAGCTATCTGTAAATTATGGACTAAATAAATCTTATTTGCATGCTACACCAAAATATAAACACTATAAAATAACAATTTTCCCCATCATATATCTTAATTTTCCTTTACAATCTAACTTACAACTAGGCTTTTTATTAACTCCTATTATTTAATATTTACATTACCCTCCTCTGCTCCTCTTCAGCATCAGCAAAGAGTTTACGGATATTTGCCTCTGATTCCCCGACATATTTGTTAAGAATTTCTGGCCCGTTGACGACCTTGGGCTCTCTTGCATTCAACATCTTGCCAATCTGTCGAGCCAAAAGGGTCTTACCACAGCCCGGGGGGCCGTATAACAGAATACCTTTCACATGTTTGCAACCTAAAGAAGAAGTAGTAAAGTCTCAGATCAATGGATTAAAATTCAAGAGGAACCTGTATTTAGCATTCAGACACATTGAAACATTTTTTTTCTTTCCCCTTCAAGTTCATGTCAGGTTAGGCAATATTATTTAACATGTTCTTGTACATAAAACAAGTTACAGAGAAAAAATTCATTACAAACACTTATTGTTGGAAAACTTAGAAATTAATCCTACAAAACGCTCATGCCTATGGAATGAAATTGTCTATAAAAGTTTACTCAGTTATGTCTACAGAACACATAATTCTATCCATGAAAATGTCTAAATGTCTATGTAGAGAACACCATCAACTATTTTCACTATCCTTCAATGTAGGAGGAGGATAATTATGTTTTAAGCAGTTTAGTTAAGACATATAAACTAGTTGTAGAAGAACAGATTGCTCAGTCACTCAAATACTTGAAAATAGAATACAGCTAAGTGGATGGTTATGAGGCATTCCACAAAAATTGCTCATCCATACAGAACCATGGAATATGGGAACTGGAAGGAAACTCAGAGGTCATTGAATCCAACTCCTTTCATTATGTAGATGAGCAAACTAGGGCCAAGAGAAATAAAGAGTTCACTCAGATTGGCAAAGCCTGGCAAATGACCCAAAATTCAGGCCTCCTGAGTTCCCTTCCCTTTTTCATTACCCCTATAATGTCCTGTGGAGAAAACTGGACAAGTTACTCTGTAGATTTCCAAACTGTCTAAATTAGTGCCCAATGCCCAGGGAGTGGTACACACTTGAAAGGGTGACCATCTCTCAGACAACTGACTTTGTTATAATGACACAGCAGAGCAGAAGTCAAAGCTCCACTCCAGTGGAACTTGTTATTTTGGGGCAAGTTCCAATAAACCCCTGAAAAGCCCCAGTGCCACTACTATTATTTGATGAACCACATAGCACAGCTCCTGACAGACTTACTCCATATCAGATCCCTTGAAGTCCTTGTGCTCATGGCCAGATTCACTTTTCAAGAAAACCACCATAGCCAGTTAGTCACAGTGGAAGAACTCTCCTCTCCCTCCCTTCAGTTTCACAGTTAACTCAATTTTGTTTTGAGGAGTTTTTCTACTTCTACCACAAAGAAGCAGCATGCCGCAAAGCAATTTGTTATTAAATCTTGGTGCTTCAATGATAGACACAAAGAAGTCTACCTCACTTTACAGAATGGCAAATTTCTTGAAAAGATGATCATAAAGCAAGTTTCTGTAATCAGAATCATATTTCTAATTGACTTCCAATATAAAACAAGTGCTGTGTTCCCATCTACCTTATAATGTAAACCTTTACAATTCATATACCTAAAGGGAAAAAGATAAAAGTGTTAATGATGTCACCAATTACAAATGTTTTATCAAAAACTGTATTTTGGGAGGGAATATAAACATTGTGCATTTAAATCTAAGTTCTTTTCTGGGCCTGCTTGCTCTTCTGCCACTATTCCAGGAAGTACCTCCTACTGAAAATCTAAGCTTTATGTTAAAAACTATGGGCCACATGTTTGTGCTTAACTTTATTCCCAGTGAAAGAATAAAAGATTAACTATTTAACTGAAGACAAGGCTCCAGTGAAAGCATCTGACCCTTTAAAGGAATCAATTTAGTATACTTGAGTAATTTTCTTTCAGCTAAAGGTAGTGACTTCTTCCTTTTGCTTTCTCCTGGTTATCTAGAGATTCTATTTCCAAGGGGAACTCAGGGGAGTAACCCACACTTTTCACTTTATAGGAAAGACAGAAGTAGTAGTTTCTCTTTCATGCCTAGAAGGTTTAGTCACAGGATGTCATGGGCATCTGTTTTAAGGACATAATCAATCCCTGTCCTTAAGTTTTTCTCCTAGATGTAAAGTATTTTTTTAGACAGAAAGATTATAGCTGGTGTTCATTCACCTAAATCTCTCCACAGCTTTTGGCACCCTATATCACATCATCCTCTTTCCTTTCCTTAGCTTCTGTAATTTTACACAGTTCTGAATGGCAGTCTCCTTTAAGGCTCCATTTTCTTTCCTCACTCCCAGTTGATTCTCAAGTCTCACAATCACTATCCCCAACCTAGAGTGCCATTATTCCTCATGTCTTGGAAAGGTCAACTCAAGGCCCACCTGTTGCAAGAAGACTTTCCTAACTCACAGTGCTTGCCCCCTACTATGAACTCATACCACTCAGAATCTTTAGTACTCACTTCACAATTAATTACACACCAACAATCTGGCTCCCAAGGTACCTTTCTGCCTTACCTCGTATTTTTCCCCTTCATGTACTATATGAGCAGGAGTATGGTATAGAAGAAAGAGTGCTAGGTTTGGAGTCAGGGGACCTAGGCTCTAATTCTGCCTGTGCTACTTTTTACCTGAGTGACCCTGGACAAACCATATCTTCTCTAAGTTTCATTTTCTTCATCTACAAAATGTGAGAGGTTAGAACAGGTGATTCCTAAGGTCCCTTTCTAGCTTTACATCTTATGATCTTGTGTTCTAGTCAAACTAACATTTCCCCAATTCTGTGCTTTTGATAACATCACATCCTACAACCAGAATACTCTCTACCCTCTCCAACAAATCTCTACCTGTTTAACTTTTTTCATAAGAACTAACAAAAATACCTCACACAGCTAATTTATGAAACTTTCATAAATCTGATCTTGTTGGAGCTCTTATAGGATGTCTTTGTATCTCCAGTATCTTATTTTGCATTATGGTTATCTACACATGTCTGACCTCCCCTACTAGACCTGAGGTTCCATGCAGGCAGAAATGATTTTTTTTTATCCTTGTAAATCCTCTGGCCCTAATATATAACAGGTGCTTAAGTTAATTTCCTTACACTCTTATTTCTTAATTGTCTTTCAAGTCTTGAACTCTGAATTTCCCTAGTAAAATATAATGAAAATTTAGCTTTCTAAATGCATTGGAATTTTATTATTGGCAAATTTGGCATAGGAGATAGAATGCTCTTGGATTCCATTTATAGTTTTGTTACTAAGACAATGAAATTCATCTATATTCCACATCTTTCTAACTCCCTCTAACACGTTTGAGAGAATGCAACAAACTCCCTACCAAAAAAAAATTTAAGAAATATTCTGCAAACACCACATAGGCATACATACATACATACATATATACAAGCACACATGCCAAAAGATGCAAAAATAATCTCCCTTTTTTGTTGAAACTCTGGGTTCGTGCTTATATTACTTTTGTACACAAATTAATTTAAATATGTGCAAAACACTTTAAGATATCTTAGAGAAATTCAAATTAAGCAAGAAAAAAACTTGTAAATAATGGAATAGTAACTTCAAAAAAAATAAATTACCTTTGTAATATTATGATAAAGGATGAAAAGAAAAAAAGGGAAACACCAAAATCAAATATATTTATGGAACTAAATCTAGTATATAGATGCTCATAAATGTGAAACAGTACCAAGCTTAAGTACTGTCAGCACAAAATATGGTTATTACAGCATTAAGAGATCAGTATGTTACTGTTGCATTTAATTTAAAACTTTGCTTTTAAAAAAGAAACAGTCTATATGCAACAGAGATTCACAGTTTCATATACAAACAGCCTTTTCTATTCTTCTTTGAACATGGAAATGTTCATCTTGGTTAGTTATCTGTCATAACTTTTTTTTTTTAAAAATCCAAACAAGTAAGTTTAAAAAAAAAAAAAAAGATCAGCATTCTGCACCAGTGCTGGGCTGTCAAAAAGCTATACTCTTTTTGGTACAGATATACAACACATCACAGGCACATAATATCTCAGAAATCATCAAGTTCAATTTCTCTGTTTTACAGATGAGGAAGCTAAGGCCTGAAGAATTTAACTTATGTGCTGAAGAGGTTAAGAGTGAGTTAATGGCACATTAGAGTGAGAACTCTAGTCTTCTGACTCTCCAATCAGTGCTCATTCTACCCATATCATGCAAAGAACACATTGCTCTCTATGTGAAAATAAAGCACTACTAAAGTGCCAGCATATATGAAGATTCCTCATGCTTATCTCTATAATAATATTTTTCTTGTTAATAAACAATAATGAAACTGGGACTTGTTTTTATCATTTTCAAGTAGTTGATCTGTTAAAGAAGGAAAACTATCGTTACATTTAAGTCAATACTAAAGACTTCCACAAGTTATATTATAAGTGGGCAGTTAATGCCTGAAAGGCACAAAAGTTAGTCAATTAATCTCATTCAGTTGATTAGTCTTCTTTATTTTAATAAGGAATGTTACTTAATATGGATTCTTATTTAATCTTTTACATTTAAATTTCAGGAAGATAAGCAATGTACACTACTGATTATCTTAATCATTTAACAGGATCTTGATGTCCAGGAAGGTGAAGACTGGGATTAGACTAATTTTTACCAATGATCTGTAGAAGATCCACACCCCAATTATGCTCTCAGGTCTTGGGCATTCCTGAGCCAGACTAATGGTTGTACAAACCTCTCCCCATTCAAATTGCTGCAGTCAAAATAATTTCTCTCCATTTGTTCTCAACTTGTTTCTCCTGCTTCTTCCACATAAAGTCTGAGCTTTTCATCTTCATTTTCAAGCCCTTCCCATCTCTTTTCCTGCCTTTCTAACTTATATAATTAAGAAATATTGTGGGTTTATGGTATAGTCAAATGCACTACCAAAACATTTATTTCCTCCAAAACAAAACAAAACTGCTTTCAGTTTTTTACCTTTCTTATCTAATTTGTTTTTGTTAATAATGACTACAGACAGAAGTACAGTACATTCTGATTAGCTACACTAATCAACTGTGGCAGTGAAATAGGTAATACAAAATGGTAGTTAATAAAATAATTATTTCTGTGTGGTTTTGGAATTTAAGCTTCTACTTACATTTGAATATTAAGATGATGAAATGATCTAGGAATTCACATTTCTTACAAGATAATCCATACTCTGAAGCTCCTACTTAGGAGAAGCTATAAAGCTGTCCGGATTC